TACCTATCCCTTCAGGGAATTGAATTAGAGCTTTGAATTCAATGGTTTTTGATTTTTACTTTTGTATTAGACATAACACTCAGCACTAATGTTCCAAAGATAAATAAAGCTTAATTTCCTTCCTCAATTTAGAAAATAGATTATTTCAACCCTCAGTGGCATATCCAATAATAAAGGTAAGCACAAGTTTCAGTGGAACAACAGAAAAGGACAGTTAGGCCAGTGGTGGAATCCAAATAGAATCCTGAAAGGTCATGATGCTACAGCAGAAGCTTAAAGATGTATCCTAAGGTAAAACACTAATGGAATAAGGACAGAAGGATCTGCGTGTCAAGAAAGAAATTACAGACAGAGACAGGTGTAAGCAGAGATGAAAGAGGTAAACAAATAGCATGAACTGTAAAGGGTTATAAAAAGCCAGTAAGAGTTAAGAGTAGACTTGTAGCCTTTGGGTTAAAGGCAAAGGCTGTAGAACAAGACTTCCCGTTCATACACCAGCTCTGTAACTATTAATTTCTAACTGTGGGTAAGTCACTTAACCCTATTGTGCCTCACTGTGCTCTTTTATAAAATGGGAATGCAGACGATAATGGGATTATCCTACAAGAGTAACACTGTCAAGATTAAATGTGCAAGATGTTCATAGAAGCAAATGGTATGTAGTAAGCACTCAGTAAGTGTTCCTGTCATTATTTTTAAACCATAAGGGGAGAAGAGCCAAAGCACCACATCCAAAAATCAACTCTTGACAGGAACTCTATTTCTAACCTTGATTTGCAGTGTCACAAGTGACAAGATACAAAACAAAGAATCAGGGCTAATAATGTAAATGTATTTGCAAAGCTCCATCAAAGTTCATCAACTTTCCTTTTGCAGCATATGTATTTTTACTCTCATTTTGAAGGTATTATTTTTGGTGCTCCTTGATCTGTAGTGATTGGCCAATTGCCAATTAGAAGTAACTGACTCAAGGACACTGTTTCAAACTTCCAATGCAATACAGATTCTCTGTTAAAAGGCAAATCCTTCATTTCAAATTGTTGACTCAGATAATACTTAAAAAAGAATTTCAGCTGTTTAAATTTAGCATGCTGAGAAAGACCAATCTTAAAATATTGTTTGGCATTATGCCCACAACATTTTCATTTCTTTCCTTGTTAGTGTTTGTCTTCTGTGTTAAGAAGACAAGCGACAGTAATCACGTTATTCTCCTTAACACTTCAGATTTTACCTAAAAGAACCATTTTCTTTTTATCCTCACCAGTTAAAGATGGCCTTTCATTTCCTGGCAAATTTTCAGAAAGTGCTTATGCAAAAACCAGTGAGATTTCCACACCACTGTTTTACCTCTTCAGTCATCAGCAGGCCTTTCTCCCCCACTTTCCTTTGAATCATCACTTTTACTCTTTAAAAAATGTGTAAAGGACATTATCTGAAGACAAACCTAATCTAATTTTTATAATCAGACCTTATAAATACTTAAAGAATTGTTTTAAATCTGTGCTTTATCTATCTACCCCACATACCATCCAAAGAGTTTGTTTTTTAACATCCCTCAGGACACAGTCTCTGGACATGTTCTCATACCAGTCTCCCACCATGATAAGCCAATCTCCCCTTAGTTTCCTTTTATCCCTCTTGGTTTTGGGGCTTTCCAACTTCTTTCCCTCCTAATTAACTCCATCATTTTCCTTCCTGGAAAAGATATTTCCAGCTTCATTCCCATGGTTCATGAAACCATAGTAGGACACTTCACTTGGAATCATTGATTCTGCTAAGTTTGGATTTGGGGTCAATTCAGATTCTAAATTGAGTGGATCCAATCTTGGTTATCGGTACAGGAGGGAGTTCTCTCCTGATGATTTCTCAAGCACTCTCAACATTCTTCAACGATAGAACAACAAGCTCATTCCACTAGGATATGGTAGAGTACCATTTAAATAAAACAAAGTGGCAAAGTGATTAATCCTAGCCCACCAGTTACTGAATATACTGCTTTAGGCAATTTGCTTATTTACTCTGAGATTAAGTTTCTGATAAATGGGAGAAAATGTAGCTGTTATCCCATAAATGAAAGAACTATTAAGAGCTTGAATCTATTTCACAATCAATACCTAAAGGTGAACAAAGCCATAAGATTCTTACTTGAGGTCTGATTTTTGTGTTGGCTTTTTAAAAGAGAGAGAAAATGTCATGAATGGGAAAGGAGCAACAGGAAGGGCCTTCTTTAAATTCTTGCCTAGATCTTCCTCCAGGCAGATGCTCCTAGGCTAGAAGTATTACCCTTAAGATAATATTACAACAGTATGATGCATGCATAAGTAAAGTTCTGTTCCTGAGGCCAGCCAGGGGGAGAAGCATCCAGGAAAGGATATTCTTAATGTCATTTCAAGCCTATACATCAACATCATAGTCATTATTAGCGGGGACCAGCAGTTATCTTTGGCTTGTCTGGCTACAACTCTTCCTTCTTCCAATAGTGTTCAAGGAAAGCATGAGTCATAGGGTACATGCTTAGTTCAGATGCTTTTCCCAGCAAAACTTACTAATGGTTTAAACCTTAAAATAATTGATTTCAAAAACAGTTTTGAAAATCTTCACCTCGGACATACCATGAGGTGTAACCTGAGGTTTATCATGAGGACAACCAAAATATGAAGCAAATGTATTCCCCAAACTCAACTCCACCCACCTACGTTTCTATCTTTAAATATAGTCTCACAAATCCCTATTCAACTACAACTCCTAGTGATTCCATTCAGGCTCTCAGCCTGATTTTTCTGGTCTTTAGCCAATACTTGAGATACAGGTAACGATCTATTCTAGAGT